AAAAATTTACAATAACAAATTTCTATAAAAATTAAAGTCAAATATCAATCTTTCAATACAAATTATCCATATATAAAACACCATTCTAGAAAATTCAAGCAAATCACAAATTAACTATACAAATTGTTCAACACCAATCTAGTAAACTCAATAAATTGAAGCAAATCACAAATTATCCATAAATAACATGATTAATTGAAAGCTTCTTCCTTTCAATTAAGTTTATTCACTCTCCACTTGATGACATCAACTTCATTCTACACAATTAGAAAGAAAAAATTAGACATATCTCCACAAACATAAATAAGATGAGTTGTTTAGAATATTAGATATACCGAGAAAATTAACTATATGAGTGTGGGCGGGTACCCATGGGTCAGGTTTACCTAAACCCAAACCCAACCCAACCCGGTGAATAGTGAACGAGTTTAAACCCAAACCCGGCCCAAAACCTGTCAATACGGATTTTACCCGCGTTGACCAGGTTGGGTCGGGTGGGTACCCGTGGGTTTGGGTTTTGTTGCCATACCTACCTCCACGTCAACGCCAAGTCCTGAAATATGACATAAACACATAACCTAGCGTGAAATCGGCTTAAAACACGAGAATCGACTATCAAACGGCTCAAAAATGGAGGTATAAACATGTGCAATTAATGGTCTATCAAGAAGCTGCCCTGAATTAATTCCCTCGACGAGCGCCACCGTTTGTCTTCACTTGCAATGAAAATCTTCTGTTTGCTCTTGTATTGGGTGTTCTTCATCTACGTTTCGCTTGGAAGGTATTGAGGGAATATATGTTGATGGGAATGCATGCCCATTGTCGTTGGTTCTTGTTATTTCAAAACACAGAATGGATCAATGATGGGATGATCCGCCGCCGTCGCCCTGTTTCCGCAGCAGGACCAACAGATGCATAGGTCCATTGGAGGGAGAATGGGATTTTATCCGGACTATAACATATGAAAAATTAAAAACAAAATAATTCAAACACGATAAAACAAAGCACATTAGAAACTTCATAATACATACCACAAATACGGTAAAACAAACCACAAAAAGCAAACCATAAACCTCCCACTGCATACTACAAATCCTCTAAAACAAACCAGAAACCTCACAAAACAAACCACAAATATTTCATAAGCACACTAGAAACATCATGATGTAAACTACAAATACGATAAAGCAAACAACAAAAAGCAAACCAGTAACATCCTAATGCAGACCACAAATCTATTAGAAACCTCACAAAGCAAACCACAAAAGTTTCAAAAGCACACTAGAAACTTTTTAATGCAAACCAGAAATACAATAAACCAAACCACAAAAGGCATACCAAAACACGAGAAACCAAACCATAAATCTCACAATGCATACCATAACATCCGGCGGTCGTTGACCGTTGACCAGTCAACGAAGTTCGTTGACCAAACTCCGATGACTGTCAGTGAGCAAATTCCGACGCCGATAGGCACATTCCGGCCCCGATGACTAGATTCCGACGCCGATAAGCATATTCCGACCACGGTGAGCATATTCCGGCGATGTTGGGCATATTCTGACGCCAAAAAGCATATTCCGGTGACCGACGACCAAATTCCGGCGACCAGTGGCCAAATTCCGGCGACCTAATTTTGGGCAGAAAAAAATATTTTTAAATTTTTTTATTTTTAAATTTTTATTATTATTTAAATATATTTTTAATAATGACAATTATACCACTGCTTTGATTTTACACTAGGTCAACTCAGCTAATAAAAAGTCATCACAACCCTAGCTTACTATTGGTTGGAGACTAGTGTTGTTTAGGGGGTGTTCAATGGTGTGGTTACCGTGGTAACCATTTTAATCGGTGGTATTTGGCTAATTTGGTTTGGTTAATTTGGATAATTGGTTTGGTTTGGTTAAAAATTTTAGCATGTTTGGTTTTTGTGGTTTGGTTTGAGAAACTCTTAATCAATTAAACCAAATTAACCAGTTAAGTAATTATCCATATATCTAATATATATTAAATACACATACTTAATACTAGGCATGAATACTTAAGAGCTAGACATTCCTTCCTTTTTGTCTCGTCAACAATAAAGCTCAATATTATTCTTATACGGTATATTTGTATAGTGTAGACAATGATATATGAACGCCAAATTTAGATAAAACTCATACAATTTATTAGATGAAAACTTGAAAGGAAGGTCTTTTCAACATATGATAATTGTTAAGAGACTAATTCAATTCACACAATCGCAACAATTAATTAACTCCATACTATTGACATACAATTTTGTTAGGGGAATTATTCTATTGACTGTTAGATAATTGTATTGGTTGCATGTATTTCTATAAGAGTTAACTATAACTATGTGTTCATTGTAATGTTTTATTCATTATATAAACTGTGAATTGATGCATTAACCGAAATTTTTTTGCGTAATGATAATGTGATGTTATATTGGTTAATCTGGTTAACCAATTAACCAAATTGATTAAACTTTAGTTTGGTTAATTTGGTTGCTGTATTAGTTTGGACGGTTTGGTTATGATATTGTATTCCATGGTTAATAGAATTTTGGCTTGTTTGGTTTGGTAATTACCATGATAACCACCATATATGAACACTCATAGTGCTATTACAATAACAACACAATCCCTCAACGGGTTAGAAGTTAGAACCTAACCCTATTACCCTAACCCTAAAGCAAGCGCTAAACCCTTGTGAACTCAAAGCTCTTGGAAGTTGAAACCAAGACACCGCTGTGCCCCGAGTCACCCATTCCTCGGCTTTCCCAGTTACCCATCGCCGCCTCCCTCCCCTCCGGCTCGCCGCTGTCCACTCCTTGCTCGTCCTCCTTCCGTCAGCTGATTTTTTGATTGTCAGCTCTCCGTTTACGTCAGCTCTAAAGCCCAGTCCGGATGGCAACTCAAGGAGGAAACTTAAAGTCCACCTCCATCAATGGAGTAAAGGTGTACAGCATCTCCCAACGCAATCTTCCAACTTGGCTAAACCCTAAGAAGAAACGAGCTCTTCGCAAAGACCCTCGTATGATTGATTCCTCACCCTTGCCACCTTCCTCTGTTATTGCGGCTTTGTTAGCCTTGCATTTTCATATTGGTTTTCTCATTTTGAACGTGGCCGGTAATTGGGCCGCTAAAATTCTGTGGTGGAGTAATTTGTCATAAGCCCTAGGTTAACCCCTCTCCCCGCTTCTTTTTGTGTTTGCTGCGGAGAAGGTTAAACAATAGGCTCAGGTGTGGTGTGTTGCTGCTCTGGGAAACAAGTTGAATTTAAATCTTTATACCTTAAAGGAAGAACATAAGATTGAAGATCGAGAGATGATTTTTACGATGGATGAACTAGCTATTGGGTTATATTTCTTCTTTTTCTCATGGGCGGGTTGTGGTTGTTAATTGCTGTGAAGACGTATTAGCTATCGTTGGTGAGAAGTTAAAAAACTAGAGCAAAAGGAAGAAACTTTTGATCAAAGGTGTCGTGGTGATGTTGATATTATGTCTTGGATCATCGCTATCTGTCATCTGAAGTACAGGGGGTGTTACATGAGAACTTTCCTGCTAGCACTTGAGACTGATATGTTATGACTTTATATATTGCTGTTAAATCCTTTTGGACATGAATCTGTGAAGAGTTGCTTATTTTCTGAGGTTTTTTCCTGTCCTGTTTGCTTTTGTTGCTAGATTATCAGCAGAGAGTGGAGTTGGTTCAGGATCTGAGGTTTGAAACTGCTACATCCCGAATCAAGATAACACCTAATGAAGAGTATGTTATCGCTTCAGGTAGTGTAAAAATTTCTTATTCATTCGTTTTCTTGAGCATCTGGCTACAGCCAATATCAGTCTAATGATCCTCTTCTGAAGTGCAGGAATATACCCCCCGCAAGTCAAAGTTTATGAGTTAAGAGAGCTATCCATGAAATTTGAAAGGCACTTCGACTCTGAGATAATTGATTTTCAGGTCGGTCTGTTTTGTCTCTCACTGTTTTGAAGTTTTTAATTTCAGAATTTATATTTAAGTGAATGCTGGGAAAGAACATTTCCGTTTTGGTGACATGGAATGGTTGAAATTTCTGAACTTTTTTTTTATCACAAACAAATAGGCCCACGTATGAACTGTAAAAGAAAAGGGAAGGGGGGTTGAACCAATGTTTGGATTCACTAGTTTAGTGTTGTTTAAATCTTTAAAGGGCCACCTGTGGCTCCCTCTAATCGGTGCCATATAGTATTATATATTTTGGATTTGTTATGGGAATTTCGGATTTGTTTTGTCTTTTTACTATTGTATTGCCTGTTCAAATCCAGTTCTAACACTGTCATTGATTTTCTTCAGATATTGGATGACGACTATTCAAAGCTTGCATTTCTTTGTGCCGATCGTTCTGTTTGCCTACATGCAAAGTATGGAAAGCATTACACTTTGCGGATTCCCAGGTTCTCTCTTCTCTGTTAGTTGATGTTGCTACTAATGTTGTATACTTCATATTTCATACCGTCATGCCTTCTTGCTCTCACATAACTTATTTGTAAGCTCATTGCCCGTTTGGTGCCTTCACATTTTCCCTTTTTCTGGTCTTTCTTCTGTAAGAGAAGCACAAAGGGAATGATTTGGATGAGATCCATTAGATGTGTGATTTCAAGTAGTCTGTATATCTTAGCTCCATGGGAGCAAAATTTTCCATTCATTTGGGTATTAAATGTCTGAGCATGTTATCTGCCACCATTTCTAAGGATCAAGTTTACTAGAAGTTTCCAAAGATGGAAATGGTTAGCATAACCAGGTGTCAAAAGGCTTAATAAGGAATTTAAGTCTGTCCAAAGGTCGATGTTTACTTAGGAATAACTAAAGAATATGTTTCAGCCCCCACTTTCAACCCAATGGCTGGTTGAATCTTCTTGAACGGAGCTGTATAAAAAAGCTTCTAAGCTTCAAAATTTGAAGAATGTTTTTTATTATATAAAACTACAAAGGACTATTTTTACTCGCACTTGAAGTTTCAGGTACTGTTTAACTTTACAGGTCAAATAGCACTGCCTTGTTATCTAGGCATTGTTTGGCAAGCATGTATTTGCTTGTGTATTTGTCAGAAACTATAACTTCGTGTAACCTACAATCATAGGTAACAAAATGTTACTAAAGTTACTTGAATCCTTGGGGACATTTGTTGATATCTAGTTGGCTTCTCTTATGTAATTGTGGCAATGTTGAGTTTGAGCAGCTTTGTTGTCTGTTTTACAGGATGGGTAGAGATATTGAATATGACTGCTGGTCATGTGACTTGTTTTGTGCTGCTTCGTCCCCAGATCTGTATCGTATTAATTTAGACAAGGTACTGAGCTTTTCGCATTGGATGTGAATTATATTGGACTTTTCTTAGATACTTTGGCTATAGGTTTCATCATCATCTGATATGTATTGTCAACTGGTTGATTTCCTTTCCTCTGGCAATCAGTTATATTTTCTACCTTAGCTTCTTAGTACCATTGATCTGCTTCAAATTGAATGTAAAATCATATTCTGTATTGGTGTCTAGAGGAGTTAGGGTGATGACAAACATACTGGTGTTCAAATAGCTCTGAGAAACCGAGAAACAATTGGATCATAGTATATGTGATGCTGGGACCCCTTCAGACCAGTGAAATGGTCATTTGGAATAAAATGCTTTTAGGCAACAGAAACTGCTTGCGTGGTCTTTTTGCTATGGATTAGGAAGTGCTGCCGTGCTTGTTGCATTTTTTTGTCGTCCAGTCTTGTTAGGTCTTTTGTCTTCTTGCTATTTAGTTAGTGCCTTTATATTGTTATTTCACATTGCATCTAAACTATCTTAAGAAAAGTTTTGGGGCCAACAGCAATGGTACAAAAGGATTAAAAAGCAGTCGTATGTGGCTAACTTACCCTTTTCAACGTCTTCAGGGACAATTTCTCAAGTCTTTTAACACTCGATCGCCAGCTCTAAATGTAGTTTCACGCAGGTAAATTATGGATATTTAGTGTTAGCAATCATTTTATAATTTTCTTAGCATCTGAGCATCGGGCAACTTCCTTTCACGATAACAGCAAGGTTCATGGACTTGTTGCTTGTGGTGGTGAGGATGGTGCTGTGGAATGTTTTGACCCAAGAGTGGAGTCTTCAGTTGGCAGAATTGATGCTGTTGCACCTTCTGGTGATACAAACCAGGTAGGCTCTCTCCTTATACTGATCTTACAAGTAATTGGAGATAGAATTTGGTTAAGATCTTGCTCATAATATAAGGATTTTGGCACACAACAATATCCACATGGTATGTCAACTTCTAGACTTTGGAGCTAACGTTGATTGTTATGGGAGGCGTGGTTATATTCTTTGTGCTTTTGGTTATTTTCTTTTATCGTCCTTTTGTTGCATGATTTATATCTTGTCAAGTTGACTCTTTTCTATGGCTTTCACCTTGTTAAGTTTGGGTTTAGACTTGTCGATTATATTCCATTCTGCCCTGACTGAAATTCTCTTTTTATATATTTACTACATTACAGGAGGTAACTGCACTGGAGTTTGATGGAGATGGTGGTTTCTTGATGGCTGTTGGAAGTAGTGGTGGAAAGGTGCAGTGTTATTCTGAGCCCTATATTTGACCCTTGTTTTTAAGAGAATATAATTGAACCACGTTTTCCTCTATATGTCGTTCTTCCTTATGGCCATGAATAACCAAAGTACCAAACTTGTAGTTTGGCTTAAGATGCCAGCTAACAAGCAGTGGCATGGTGTTGATGATGAATTTGAAATTCCCATCTCTTATATCGGTCAGGAAGAGGAAAACTGTGAGATATAATGCATTCAAACTTTTAGAGTTGTGGCTTAATGCCTAAGCAAGTCAAATATTGCATGGCATTACTTTAAGGTTGAACTTGCATTTCTTAATTCCATCCCAGTATTGAGGACACTGATGAGATCTTTTATAACAACCCAGGAGTTCAAGTATTGGATGGTTCTGTTATAAAGCAGCTGACTCACTCCAAAAAAATTAAAATGACAGGTTAATCTTAAAGGTCATTCTAATTTCAAATGACTAGTTAACATCAGGTGGTGCGTGGTTACAAGGATCATAACTGGATGATGGCTGCCATTAATATACTAATTGTTTATTTGTGTGTGAAAAAGTCATAATTGTTCTTGTTGAATGTGCAGGTATTGTTGTATGACCTGCGTTCATCAAATCCCATGCGAATTAAGGATCATCTGTAAGCTCACTCTACACGCTTGTTTCTGCATAGTCAGTGATTTTGTCAATCTCTTGCTTGGCTAAAGCTTAAATCCTTCTTTTGTAGGTATGGCAGTCCGATATTGGACATCAAGTGGCACAGTTCTCTTAATTCTGAGGGGCGCAAATTAATTACTACAGACAGCCATATTGTTCGAATATGGGATCCTGAGACGGTGAGCAAAATTTTCATTTTTCCGTAACTTGAGCAGATGATGAGTTTGATGAATTCTATTCTTGGGCATAACTGTTCATGAAATACGAAATATGGCATGTAATCTCCAATCCTAGCTGGAAAAGCAGGGACTTGGGTGCTAATTTTTTGAGATGCAGTTCTCATATGCGCGGCATAGTTTAATAAAAACCAAAATTTCCATTATCTTGTTATTCTCCTTTGGAAGTTCTACATCGTTTTGCATTGGAGGTGACAAGCCGGCCTATTTGTGTTTATTTACCTTCTATTGCCATTACGAAGCAGTAAGTAGAAGTCTTATGCTATGTGTTTGGAAGCTATCTAAATGATGTAGATGTGGGCTTTTTATCTCTTTTCACAGCTGTCCGCCAAGTTTGGTGTAATTGTACTTTTTCATATAGCCCATTGACGGAGAAATAATATTGGTTAAAGCAACTTCAGTTGAGCTGCCAGATCTAGAAACCAGAAATGAAGTCTGTAATGCAGTTGAACTGTAGCTTTCCGTGGGGTTGCGGTTTCAATCTAGATTTAAGCTTTTAGTTCTTGTTACCAAGCCTGCTATTTAGAACATGGGTTACTAAGTCAGTGGTCGCTTTGATCTTTCTCTCCATGTATGTTGAGGACCAACTTCTCTTAGATGTTTTCCTTTGCAGTTCCCATTAACATTCTAGATTAGAGAATTGATCTTGCGAAAAGTTTGTTGAAGTGAGCATGTGATTGTTTGTGGAATTTGTTATTATCTGTATTGGTACTATGGCACTTGGATGAATCTATTTCATGTAACACCTTGCTGGATATTTGGTGCTCTTGCACGGTGGTTTCTTTTACTTTTATCTCCTTGCTCAACTTCAACTTGTTCATGATTTTATTCAGGGTGAGGGTATGACCAGTATTGAGCCCAATGGTGGAGCAATAAATGATATCTGCATTTTCAGTAACAGTGGTCTCATGTTGCTGGCTTTGGATGGAAGCCATATACCATCATATTTCATACCTTCTCTTGGGCCTGCTCCCAAGTGGATTGCTAGCTTGGAGAATCTAACGGTGTGGTTTCATGATCTTATCTGGTTTCAGTTTGGATTGTTTTGCACCCGAAGGTTCTATATAAAACTGTCTTGAGTTGATTATTTACAGGAAGAGCTGGAGGAGAATGCTCAAACCACTGTATATGACAATTTCAAATTCTTGACGAAAGAGGATCTCGAGAGATTAAACATGACAAAATATATCGGCACTAATCATCTAAGAGCATACATGCATGGCTTCTTTGTGGACTACCGCTTGTATCAGAGGGTAACTACTCAACATGCATTTAGTGAATTTTAAGGCAACTGTGCTAGATGAAGTGCACTTCTGTTCGATTCATTTTTTACCCTCCCTAGGTGGGGTTAGGCGTGCTTACTGAAATTTCAATGTTTGATAGATCAACTATCACCATCATCTGTATAATGCATGCTATTTGTGGTTACTTACTCTGATGAGTGTTGATGCTTATTGTGCTGAAACTCCAAAGCAGCACGAGTTAACTACCAACACATTTGTTTTTACAGCTTTAACTAGTCTGTTCAACAGCAATGTCCCCATCTCTACCAATGCCTCTTTTTCTTCCCCACTTCATGTAACTAATGTTTAGCATTCCCCTGCAGGAGAAGGCTAAAGCTGATCCTTTTGAATATGAAGCTTACATAGAGAAGCGTAAACAAGAGAAGCTTGAGGAGCAACGTGCCTCTCGAATTACGGTGAGCTGTCCATATTTCACTTAGGAGCTTCCTTTTCTCTCCATCATTTTATGCTGGACTAGAATGGTAGTCAAGATATTTCCATACTACAGTTCCAAGTCCCTTATCCATATCTCAGGTGTATATTATAAGGGCTTGTTGTCTACACGCTCATTGAGACATATTTAGGGGTTGAGTGTATGAATTGCTGACTTCCAATCTCTTGAACCAATAAAATAGTCTGTAAATGTTATCAGCTTGTATTAGGCTACCGTTTGGTAGGGGAATCGGATGGATCTGCATCTTATTTCCACTTTGTTTCCTTATTAGTTTTTTTCGTGGGTTGTTATGCAGATTGCCAAGAAGCTGCCCAAAGTTAACCGAAGCTTGGCAGCTAGTATCCTTGAAAAGGAAACTGAAAATGAAAGAAAAGACGCAGAAGCAGTTGAGAACAAAAAGGGATCCAAGAAAAATAAAGGACTTGGTACTGACATATTCCATGACGAGCGATTCGGTGGAATGTTTGAAAATAAGGTACATTTATTTGGAATTATCAGTTACGTAGCTACTATGTACTTTTCAGAATTTTCTGCGGTTCAGTATGTCGTACTCTTCGCGAATTCCTTTCAACCTGGATGTGCAGTTATCATTTGACAGAGGCACAATTCGTTTCATTTTAATAGGAAGCAAGCAGGATTTGTCGACAGCTGTCTCAGCACTTGTTTCTTCTGGTTCCTCCATCTTACAGCTTCCACCTTTTTCTGTAGGAGTATGAGATTGATGAGACGTCACAAGAGTACTTGGCTCTACATCCAGTGGCTGCCACAATGAAGCAGCCATCATCACTAGCGGAATATTTTGAACCCATAGCAGAGGAAGACGAAGACCAGGATCAGGATTTTAGCAGTTCTGATGATGATATCAAAGGGAAATCACGAGTTCCTAGGTAAAGATGATGCACTACAAATCTACAATGGTCTTTGTTTGGAGCTTTTGCTTAAAAAATTACTTTTCTATTTTCAAGTTTTTTGTTAAAGTGAAGAAAAAATACGTTGGGGTTTTAGAAAAAATTCTTAGGATGGAAATGCAAGACATGTTTTAATGAGATAAAAAGTAATTGACAGGATTGTAGTTAGTTTGTTTAGCAAGTAAAAGAAGCATATCCTCACAATCCAGTTGTTTGCTATTTACTTATAGATTATACGAAGTGAAGGACGAAAGACATGCAGAGGCATTCAGGAATTCCGTGTCACTTGCTGAAGAGGATTCCCTTCCCATCGGAGAAAGGCTTGCCTCTCTTGGTGACGTTGGCCGTGATTCTGGCATTGACAGGAAAAAAGTGAAGTTTGGGCCAGGCGGGTCACGAGAGATTTCATTCATTTCAAGAAGCTCAGGCAGGTTTCATAGAGAAGATAAAGAGGACCACCAAGAAGGAGGCGGTAGGAATGGAAGGAAGAGAGGGGTTGAGGCTTTAGGACTGAAGAAAGATAGATCAGCTGGTTTCAGAGGACGTGGAAGAGGGAGCAGAGGACGTGGAAGAGGCAGACGGTGAAATTGCGTCTTGCGTTCTGGAACCAAGTGAGTTCTCCCATATCTATAAGTGCGTTCCGAAAACAGTTATTGTGGTTGTTGGATGGTAGACATACTTGAATAGGAATGAGACATTGTCCGAGGTTCTGGGATAGAAGATTGAAACTCAAAGGAGAACACAACAAAGTAGTTAAGTTTCATGTTAACTGATCATCTAGCTTTATAGAGCATGTACTTGTTTTGCAGTGCAAGTGTACCAAGTCGGAGCAAGCTGTGTGTAATCGTCCTTGGTGCGGTCTACTGCATCTCGCATAAGGTGTGTTGGATTGGAGCCCAAGGCAACAGAAGAGGAAAGGGGGTTTGGAGGCCATCGGTTGGTTGGTGCTGGTTCTTATGATCAACTCTGGGCGAGCAAGAGGAGCAGCACCACTGGTCTGGTAGGAACAAGTTTTGTGAGTGAGAATGAAGAGCTACTGAATTCTAGTGTATTTTATCGATATGAGGTATGAGTATGGGTAGTTTCTTTCTCCATTTTTGAATGGCCAGGATAAAGTTGTGGACTTCTGCACATTACTATGCCTATTGCTATGTAGGGAAAATCTAAAATTTTTTCCTCAAAAATAGTAATAGCTAGATGCAAGGTTAACCCGCGAGTGAACCTGCCGGTCCAATTGGATCCGCCCGGAATGCTGACACACTTGGGCCAGCCACCCGTTGATGATTTCAGTCGAATTTGATCAAAACTTGATCAAATCTGGCAAAAATCGTGAGTCTCGGTAGGTTGATCGCTGGGAGTTTGGACACTCACTCTCTGGCCTCTGCTCTCCTCGACCCCTTCCTTGTTGCATCCAACCGCATTCATATTTGGGTCTATCATAGTAGCTAACCAGAGCGATTTATCTCCTAGATATCAATCTGCCACCAACTCTCTTGAAGAGGCTTGGCTACTTCGATTCATCCTGACCCCTAAGTGATCCTCTGCTTCAGTTGTGGCCGCAGGCTAGTAAAGAAAAGTACAAGATTGAAATTTCAAATAAGAGGGAGAAAGAGAAGGATGGTGGGAATAGAGTGCTTTTGTTGGAAGAGAGAGGAAGGGCGGTGGGGAAGTAGGGAGGAAACTAGGAAGGAGGAATGTTTTTCAAATCGGTTCATACCGCTATGTCGGTTTAGTAAGTCGAATCGCTCGACCGATGGTACAACCGCTTTGTACCAGTTCATGCTGGTTCATGACGATTTAACAAAGTAGAAATTTGAAGTACCATTAACATAAAATGTGTAATGTGTAAAAATATATAAAATATATTTGGAAACATATTACACGTAATTCATATTAATATTTAAATAAGATACGACATTCCAAATAAAATAACAAATAATTATGTTTTAATACATATTTAACCTTGATTCATAAACGTTTATACTTGAATCCAACAATAATATCAACATTTAATTTTTAAATTCATAAAATAAATATATTAATTTTTTTTTCTATTAATTAAATTCACTAAAACAATGTAATTTTGTTTAGAGGTCTTAAATCGATCATGCTAGTCATATTGGTGGTGTTCATGTCGATTTCATGATCGACAACGATTGAGCCAGGTTCAAGTGGCAGGTATGCCACCGACATGACAACTATGAAAAGGAGTCCGGTAGTGATGGGGGATTTAGGGTTATATGGGCTAAAACGATCCGACCATTAACCCTCAAGCAAATTACTCGACCGGACCAACAGGGTAAACAAGGATGACAACCTTGGCGAGACGTGACTTACTGACCCGAACTCAAATGTCAGATCATCATAGACTTCTATCGCCGATGAACAACATCAAGAAATGACTATTGTTGCCCAATTTATGATGCAAGAATTGAGTATGTATTTTTCTTCTCTTTCTTTTCGTGATGATCTGTATTTTTTATGTTATGTGTGGCTAGAAACCTTTGTTGTTTAGACTCATGGAACCTATATTTATCGTGGCGACATGTGAATCATTTTATGGCCGCCGTCTCCTCCTACTGTTTCAAAATCAGGGTTTTGAGTGTGTAAAAAGGATACATAGGCTTCACTTTCAGGATTTCTTGATATACAGTTAGCTTATGGAAGGTAAAATAATAACCAACTACCTATTGGCCATCACATATTGTTCGAATTCCCGTGACACCGTTTGTGAAGCACATGGTATCGTGTATTTAGACCTATGCAAACGAAAGCTCTTATGAGTTATGAGGTGACTGGTTTTCGTTTAAGGGAGTGTCTTAGTGAATAGTATATGATCCACGATTGAATCTCTCCCAACAACTCGAGTTATTGGGATCAACTGGTTGTTGACACATATAAGTTTGGTCTTGAATCGATAGGAGCTTGAAGCTTGTGCTCTTTGCAAACGGATTATGGATTTTCTCTAAAAGTCATGACGACCTATAGCGTCCATAAACCATTATGGACCACCACGAACTTCTGAAAATTTGAAGTCTGACGGAAGCAATTACACAAATGAAGGCAATCTGTAGGGACAAGCAAAAAACCCCTAAATGGCCATAAGAGAAAAACTAGCTCAGCTCTTTCTTTCTCTCTATTCTGTTTGCTCCGTAACAAATTTCTACCGTCCCTGGACGGAGGGCTTCGAATTCCAGCGGAGCTCGACGAGGAAGCTATTGCTTGATGGAATGCTTTCCTAGTGGGTCAATTCATCACTAGCTCCACCCCGAAGAGTTTGTGTGAGTTCCCTGAATTGGGAAAGGCGACTCTGAACCCATTAAAGAAGGATAAGAAAGGGACAAGACGACCCCAAAAGCTAAGGGTAAATGATTGTTCTCTTGTGGAACATGCGGGATTCAATAACCCTGCAAAGCACGAGTATATAGTTGAAATATTACAAAGGTATAAGATAGATTTAGTGGCTATTCTAGAAACACGAGTTAGTTGAGAAATTGTCAAGGAAATTATCTCAGTTATGTTTGTAGAGTGGGAGTTTAGTGATATTTATTATGCAGCAAATTTTTTCAAAATATGGGTCTTGTGGAAAGAGGATCTCCGGTTACACAGGGAATCCATTAGGGTTATAGGTATAATATGCCCCTCTATTATGTTATTTTATTAAACATGCCCCTTTACTATTTTTTACATCAAACATGCCCCTGTACTTTGGGCAAATGATCAAACATGCACTTTTGTCAAAATTTAGATCCAAAAACCGTTAACCACGGTCGAACTTTGGTTTGGACGACATAAATCTCTAAAATATCCCTACTAATTTCACTATAGAATTTTTTTAGCTCTTTTGTATAGCCAAATAATTCTAATAATTTCACTTTGGCAAGACCCAAAGAAATAAAACAGGGGATAAAACTGACATTTTTCCTCCCGTTTGCCGATGCCAGGTCGTCTAAATCTCGGTTCAACCATGAATGGCAATTTTTTCAATAGAAATTTTAATAGAAGGGCATGTTTGATAATTTTTCCAAAGTACAGAGGCATGTTAGATGTAAAAAAATAGTAAATGAGCATGTTTGATAAAACAACATAGTATAGGGGCATATTATACCTATAACCCAATCCATTAACCTCCTATCTCTTTGAAATCACTACGAAAGTTCTTTCTTGTATGTTGAATAGGGTTGTCCTGTTAAAAGTCTTACCATACCATCCGCAATGTCATAGAGTGGATCTCACCCACCTATGCTTTGCGGATCACTTGTTGATTTTCACAAAGAGGACTAGAGATGGGGCTCAAATAGTGGTTGAGATTCTGGAACAGTTTGCAAGGTTCTCTGGTCTGAGGTGCAGTCCTGCAACAAGTGAATTGTATTGTACTGGAGTGAATGTACAGACTAAAAAAGAGCTTATTGACATATCTGGCTTCCAGGAGGGATCACTCCCAGTCAGATACTAGGTGTCCCTCTTATACCAGGAAATTTTGGGACTTCTGACTACAAGAGTCCGGTAGACAGAATAACCAAAAGAATACAAGGGTGGAGACAAAAAATGCTTACATATGTAGGGAGGTTACAACTTATTAACTCTATTAGTTGCCACAACATTTTATACATGAGATTGAGAAGAGATGCTTTAATTTTTTTTGGGACTTAGAAGAATCAGCTAAGAAGGCCAAAGTTTCATGGCAAATGGTAGCATTATCGAAGAAGGAAGGAGGGTTGGATTCAAAGATCTTAAGTCTAGGAACACTATCTGTATAGTCAGACATACTAGAATCAATACTCGCGGCTATGCCGCAATGAGTATTTGGTTATATGAAAGAAGATTTGGTTATGGTCATGCAAGTTAACTGAATTCGTATTCAAACTTTATGATTAATAGTTAATCGAGAACAATAATATGAAGGAATAAAATAGTTTCATATTTGGTTTTAGGTAATCTTTGGCGTTTGGTGTAACTGCACATCAAACTGCAAAACAAAACCCCCAGATAATCACAAAATTAAACTACCCAATTAGGTAACCTAAACCAAAAAGAACGAGAAATAGGTTAATTGGTTGAACACAGTTAACTCCAGAATAACCAAAAATCATAATATTCGAGGTTCAAGTAATTGCAATAACAACAATTACAATTGCTAAAATGACGACAATTCGATTTTGGATAACCAAACAATTCGGTAAGAAAAAATCATCATGCTTTATTAGAACCTTGGTAGGTCCAAACAAACTGGGAACAAAAAACTCGTATTTGCTTGTTATCTAGCTGGCCTTTCTCCCTAAATGGCGAGTGAAGCAGTTGTTGATACCTCATATCTCTTTTGCCATCCATTATATTATTAACCATTTTTATAGTTGGTGATGATTTTTAACAATACTTAGTTACCTAATCGCCAGTTAAATGGGGAATGAACATATTTATTAAGTTTGTGTATTGAGTGAACAATGCATAATAGGAAACCTACGCCTAACCATCACAACTTAGATCATCAAAACTCTTAGAGAAAACGGGTAAAATTAAATTTTCCCCTTGAATAATAACATTCAACTTGTTGTGAGTGAGGAAGGGAGTTAGAAGCTTATCGATCGAGCACAACCTTGACTTGGATCATGAAATATACAATGAATTAAACACTACTTGAAGCGATTGCATATCCATATAATAAGCGAATTCAACTCTAAAAGTAAACGCATACATATGATTATTATTCATAAGTCTAACATGTACAACACCTCGCATCTAATTCACTAACAAAAAAATAATTATATTTTCTCATTGTCCATACAACTTAAGACATTAGACACCACTATTCACTGTCTCTTGCAAGTCCAATTTATTAAGAAAAATATAAAGAACGTTCATAATATAATTTGTTGGATCCAAATTCTATCAACCAGTTAACTCGTCGGATACACAAATACGATCAAGTAAGTAAAGATGTAAGCAAAATGATAGAATTCTAGGTATCACCTATATACATTTTTAAGGAAATTATTTTATTCAATTTTATTTCCGTTTTGATTCGGTTAAACAAAGCATTCTCTCCCTAGTTGTACCGTTTAAGCCTCTTAACAGTTCATTTTTAAGGAAATTACTTAATTCAATTTTATTTCCGGTTTGTTTCGGTTAAACAAAGCAATTTCCCCCCAATTATACATACAATACAACATCTTTCACCAAATAATAAAGACTTTTCTTTTAATATATTTGAGTGTGTGTGAGGGATGGGGTAAGATGACAAGCTCTTTCATCCTCACTAAAGGACAAAAAATGAAATGGTAATTTGATAAAAAACGTACCTAGTAATTTGGTAAAAAATGTACCTAGCTTTTATATATAAGACTATTTGCGATGGCGCGTCTTGCCGTGGAGTGGAAATGACCTATGTGCATGTATTATGTGGCCCGTTATGGTGTTTTGTAGATGAGTTTGGTAGGGTTTGGATATTTACTTCCATGATCTAAATGTGTATAAGTTGGATATGGATACCCATTTATTCGAGTGTGTTTTAATTACACATACAAAAATCAAACCTATTTGTAGAACTTTAAAGTTTAGGTACCAAAAGGTAATACACAAAAATTTTAGG